TCGTCACAGCCTTTGTGGATTTGTTTATTTTAAACAAATTGTGTTGTTGTTGACCAATTGTGTTTGTTGACCAACTTTTATAATTGGTATTTTCTGTCATGTTTCCCTACTTTTTTATTTTTTCAACACAATTTATACTTTAAGCTCAATTATTATTAAGTTTTAGTCTGAGTGTTCCCCCCTCACCGTGCCCGAAACGCTATGCGTATTAGTGGCTTTACGTATTGTATGTATTAGCTCATTCTTTAAATCCAACATTATGTTTGTAACTCATCTTCAATGTAATGAATAAAAATCTAAATCTACTATCATCCTCTGTTTTAATCCTCATAATTTTTGCATCATCAGAAAACAATGAGAGGAACTAGTCTATACCCTCTGGGAGATCATTTACATATATCAGAAACAGTATAGGTCCAAGGACTGACCCCTGCGGGACTCCACTGGTGACGCCTCGCCAATCTGAGACCTCACCCCTCACAGTGACTGTCTCCTGTTGCTTAGGAACAATGGAGTATTTTCCATTGGATAAGGGTTGGATTTCCATTCCTTTCACTCCTGCCTGCATCTCCAGCTTTTTCACTAGCCTCTTGTGTGGGACTGTGTCAAAGGCTTTCTGGCAATCCAAAAATATGCAATCTGCCCACCTCTCTTTCTTGCCTGATTTTTGTTGCCTGGTCGTAAAATTCAATTAATCCTGTGAGGCAGGACTTGCCATCCCTGAACCTATGTTGATGATGTGTTATAAAGTTCTTTCGCTCCAGATGTTCCACAAGCTTTTTTGCACAATCAGCTCCATCAGCTTGCAATGGTATGCAAGTTAGGGACACTGGCCTAAGTTCAGTGCCTCCTGTCAATCCCCCTTCTTGTATATTGGGACTACAGTAGCAGTCTTCCAAATTTTTGGCAATTCCCCTGTTACCAGTGATTTGTTATACACTATGAAGAGTGGCAGGTACAGTGCTTCTGCTCCTTCCTTTAGTATCCAAGGGGAGATTCCATCCGGTCCTATAGCCTTTGTCACATCCAACTCTAGCAAGAGCTTCTTTACATCCCCACTGGTAGTCTCAAACTCTTGTAGTGGTTCCTGGTTAACTATTCCCTCTTTTATCTCTGGAACTTCCCCTTGCTCTAATGTGAAGACCTGGAATTTCTTATTCAGTTCCTCGCACACTTCCTTGTTGTTTGTAGTGAATCTGTCTGCCCCTATCCTTAATTTCATTACATGTTCCTTTACTGTTGGTTTTCTCCTGATGTGGCTGTGCAGCGATTTAAGTTGAGTCTTTGCCTTGCTTGCTATGTCATTTTCGTATTGCCTTTCTGCCTCTCTTCTCAACCTGACATTCATTCCTGGCACTCTGATATCTTTCTCTGCTCTCAAGTGTCCTGTTATTTCTATAGTTTCTCAAGGCCCTTTTACTTTGCTGCTTAGCTAGCCTACATCTCTGATTAAAGTTTCTCAGTTGGTTTCAGTAAAGTGGGTTTCTCAGAGATGCATTTCGGTGTTTTTCTTATGGCCTGGGACAAACTTGTCTGCTGCCTCCTTATACTTCTGCGTGATGTTGTCCATCATGTCTTGGGCCGTCTTTCCCCTGAGCTCTGTTTCCTATGTTATATCTGTTAGGAATTTCCTTATCTCCTCATAGTTTCCCTTTCGGAAAGTCAGCCTTTTGTTTTCTGTACCCCTCCTCGAGTTCTTTAACTCTTCTTCAACCAGATACTCAAACGTCAGTACACTGAGGTCGCTCATTCCTACTGGGGCCCCAAAACCGATATCCCTTATGTCGGAGTCGTTCAGACTGAAGACTAGGTCGAGTCTCGCTGGTTCATTGTTTCCTCTCATTCTTTTGGGTTCCCTGACATGCTGGCTTAAGAAGTTTCTTGTCGCCACCTCCAATAATTTAGCTCTCCATGTATCCTCACTTCCATACGGTTCCACATTCTCCCAGTCTATCCTTCCATGATTGAAGTCGCCCATGATGAGCAGATGGGATCTACTACTACTTTTGGTCCTCCCATTGTCATGGTGCCTGTTATGTAGTCTCTGAATCCCTCACAGCCCGGGATAACCATCTCCTTGAAACTCCATTCCTTTCTCATTAGTAGGGCCACTCCACCTTATCCCCTTACTTCCCTGTCTTTCCTTATTGTGTAGTCCTGGGGAAACACCACATTCGTTATGATTCCTGAGAGTTTTGTTTCTGTGAGTCCGATTACATTTGGGTTCACTTCTTGTGCTCCAGTGTTCTGTTGTGTGTGTAACTGTGTTAGATATGTTCCAGTGGTCTGTCGGGGCATTTCTCCAGTTAAAATATGTATTAAACCACAGTGCTGACATTTTCTCTCATCTTCTGGAACCTGTAAGCCTATTTCCCATGCACATGGGTATCCAAGCCTGATGCGATGTAAGTGTACTTCTGTTGCTCTACTGCTCCTTTTCATCAAACTAAGTGGTTTGTAGTTGGTTGAATTCTTGTACCAACCCGCAGATCCTGATGTTGCAACTGCTGTGTTGTGGTCACTGTACATCTTCTGCATTGCTCTGTTTCTAATTACTTTCTTAATCTGTGATAGACTCTGGTATATAAATGTCTACATTTCTCTTAGTTACAAGTTTTGCAGCTTCGTCTGCAATGCCATTTCCTATTATTCCCACATGACTTGGCACTCAGTTGATAAGTGCTCGACGGCCTTGACGTTTAAGTGTTATCACGTACGTGTTCTTGTCACATACTGCCATTTTCAATGGCGGTTCTCGAATCTGTATGTATGATAACATGTTGTCGGTGTTCAGCAAGAGCATGTTCCAAAGCTTTTTGAATAGCTAGCATCTCTGTTTGTAAAGTCGAACACCCATTTGAGTCTCCAACTATTTACAGAGTTACCTGCTTTAACGGTTTCTTGTCCCTGCTGGTCTACTGATCCATCTGCGTAATATGTGAAGCTGTCAGATTCCAAGTTTGCTTCTGTATGCCGCTGTGCAATATTACGCAGCAGATGATGATTAGTCTGGTTCTTTTTTCCTTCAGGAGCCATAATCTTAAAGTCTGCTGGCGGAGATTCCCAAGGGGCTGCATAACAAAGTTTGCATGTATTTTGTCGACACCCTTGTCAGTGATTGTTTGTTATATCGAATGTATTGATGGTGTTTATCACACAATGGGTCCACCTGTTGCTATTGGAGGCTCTTCTGTTCCGAGTTAGTGCTCCAGTGATTATATCTTTAAGTGAACTGATTCTAGGTCTAGTCAATATCTTGTTTCAATCGACGTTAGCTTAGTTTCTATTCATAGGTTCAGTATTTTAGTCCATCTGGGAGCCCCTGTTATGACTCGCAATGCATCATTCTGAATAACCTCAACGTTTGCCCACTGACCAGGAGAAAGAGTGAGTAAGGCAGGCGCTGCATAATAAACTAGGGAATGAACGGCGTGTATGTAAAACATTCTTAACACTCATTACATTCAGTCGTGATTTTGCTTTCTCTGTCAGATATTGAATTTGCTTGTTGAATGTTATTTTAGAATCTATCCACACTCCGAGATATTGATATTGTGTAACCCACTGAAGGTTAATGTCTTGAATGTGTAGGTGCCTGTCTGGAGTGTTGCCGCCTAGTCTCATTGCCTTAGACTTCTGTGCAGATATTTTTAGCCCTAAAATGCTGCATTCAGATGTTACTTTATCTAAACGCCCCTTGTGCTTTATTTAGAAGTGAAGGACCTGTAATGACTAATGCTATGTCATCAGCATAGCTATGCCTTCTGCAAATGTCATGGTAACAAGGTTTTCCATATGGATGTTTAAAAGACTAGGACTGAGGACTCCTCCTTGAGGAGTCCCATTCTCATGCAAGTGGTAGTCCGACACTTGTCCTTGCTACTTTACTCTGGTATTCCTGTGACTTAGATAATCTTGAATCCATGCTAGCATATTTCCCTTTACACCTTTTTTTAACTAAGGTGTGTAAAATTGCTTGCGGGCTTGCAAGTTCAAATGCTTTTTTCTAGATCAAGGAAGATCACTATAGCTGGACCTGAGTTAACTGTTCCTAGTAATGTTGCTATGCAGTTGGCAGTACCTACTTCTCTAGTGAAGCCAAATATGAAGAATTACTGATTGACAGAGCCAAGGCTCCTGTTGGATTTGTTCAGTAATAATAATAATCTTTATTCAAAGAATGTGTCCACAAAGAACATAAGGGTAATGAACAATTGTAGTGGCATAAGTTGTACATACAAATAAAGCCACTATTACGCAAAGCATTTCTTGCAAATTTCATGTTTGTAATATTGTCACCTGTGTCACACACACACACACACACACATGGGGTCCAGGAGGAGGCGCTCCACTGAGGAACATTTGAAGAACACTTCCTTCCCTTGAGGAAGAACAAGGTATAGGTTTAACTTAGCGCAAGTATATATCTTGTAATTCGACACTGCATGAGCCACTTGTTGCATTTACCAATCATTAGTTTATGGGCAATGCTATTTATATTTACTCATCGCAGCATATAATATAATTTTGATACGGCATTTATTTTAGCAGAAATTTCAGAAGTAACCTGTGCCGCAAGTCAAATAAACATTATTAATGTGGATAAATTAATGCTACGTAAGTACGTACGTAGCCTATAATGCGTAATTTGCTGACATGGTAGTTTAGATATTAATGCATATACAGTATGTTTCTCTGGAGATGCCGCTTTACTGACATTATTGCTAACCTATACCCGCTAACAATCTAACATTCATAGTCTATGATCCAACTGCTGGTGCTAACTGATTTGTCGAGCCATGATAGGTCACTGGCAGGAGAAGATAGAGACAATGGTATTGGATAATTACTGTGTGAATGTTCAAGTGTGAAGCGCTGTAGACGAGTGAGACGAGTCAGTATAGATTACTGAAGGCATTTTTGTGATGCTGTTTTGTTTTCTGACATTTCGCCTTGATTTACATTCACTTATAATGTATTGTTTACATCCGACACCACAGTCCAGGGAAACTTGGCAGGTGAAGCAGCAGGAGATAAGCAATGGTGTTGGGATGCCTGGTATAGAGGAAGAGGAAGGTGCTACAGGCGATGACACGCGCATAACGTCACAGGAACACTCACATACTAAGAAGGAGGAGTGTGGAGGCAGGAGAGAGGAGCAGGCGGCTGGGACGGGCACCACCGCGGCTCCCAGGGCCTTCTCCAGGATGCTCTGGTCCAAAATCATGGTGGCCTGCAAGCTCTTGTGTGTCTTGCTTACTATCTTCATTGTGGTTCAAAGCAGGTTGGTAATTGGTATAGTTTTACATTGTCATAGCTTTAAACCAGGACAGATTGTCTGAAGCAATGTCATGCTATTGGATTACTTTATAATTGATCCACAATATTGTTCCTCTGAAGATAATAAGAGAAAAAATAGAAAATTCCTATAGCACGGTTGTCAACATGGGCAGCTGATAATCAAATGATTTTCGGGCAGGACATTTAGTCTTAGATGTTTAGGTGCATTTTATTATGCCTGAAGCCTCTTCATCAAGATGAATCGATGGGAAGGTAGGCAACTGTTGCGGGTTGCATCCTGGGGGAAAGTCAGAATTTGGCCTAGGGGCCAACCCTTGATAACCCTTCAACAGGCTTCCTGTCACCATTAGGACACCATTACCCAGAGAGTGAATAGGGAAAAATAATTCCTTGGACAGGTATGGGAAACTTTACAGCATGTGGGTTGGTTTTAGGTGTGGTTGTTCTCATTTGTAAATATGGATATGCATCTTGATCTCACGAAAATCCAACATAGGATGACCATACTGAGACCTGTACTCGGTATCTCCCATGCAAAAAAAAGCTTGACTTGGAGAGGCTCAGGGCGGGTGTACATGGTCAAGGACAGTGGATGATGGTACAGTATCAACAAAGATACGAGCAAGATTATGAAACTGTCAGGTCAGAACCTATATCAATGGCTATATGCTGGTGAAATTCAGATTCAGGAAGTATTGGTTTAGCAACGGAGTGGTAGAGGAGTAGAACAGGTTGCTGGCCAACATCATTGAGGAAAATCATACTGAATGCTTTAAAAATAGGCTTGATAGTTACATAGGAAATTGGAGTTGGATTTAGATAGGCCTATAATGGGACTCCAGCTTTATGTTCTTAGAAGACAGTGTGGACTGAACTGTGGGTGTGTTTTGTGGAGGTAGGTGGTGGTGGTGGTGCTGTGGGAAAACATGCAGACAGGACTTGGGGTGAAGGTGAGGTGGAGATTACTTTCAATTTCAAGCAATTTCAGCTGGGTTCAAGCCATAGGCAAGGAGGGTAGACTGGGCACCGATCCTCAATTGTTTGGCACTCTTCACCCAGCAGTAATTATTGAACTGTTTGTAAACCAAATGATGGGTTGTGTTCCAGGGAAACTAGTAGGGTAAAGCTTAAGATGAGCTGGGGGAAGGGTAAGCTCTTAAGTCTGCTAACAAGAGTCGGAAGTTGTCTTCTGTATCCACGTGTGTAAACAAACAAAACAAATGTTCCCAAACCCATTTCCTTGTCTGTCATTATTAATATACTGTACTGTAATATTCATTGAGAGCTTAACATGAGTGGTCATAAATTACTGATATGACATTATGCAATCCCAGTGAAAATCTGGCCATGACAAATACAGGTGCTCATTGGCTTAAAACACTGGGAAAGGTTCAAGACATAGTAATTAAACGTCTTAACATTGATATTGAAGGCATGAAATATCTGATTAAAATGTAAGATTGTGATTGGTGTTTAAATGCTAATTTTTAATTGATGTACTCTATATTTAACCTAGTTTTAATATGGTAATTTGTTCAGTGATATTTATGTACTGTACAGTAAAGAATAACTAATGGTAAGTTATTTTTATTACTAGTTTCTGGGCTATGACATCAGATGGGTAAGCAAAATAGTCACTGCAAGTTTTGTGTGCCTTGTAAATATTAAATAATGGTAATAATTGCTGAGAGTAGATGGTAGTATTGTTGCTGCCCTCATCAGTGTAGTGATTAAATGTAGTACAGCACCTCATTTGATTTCTAATACTTTTATCTTGATAAATAATGTTGTATTGTCATGTTATTTTGCACAAAATTTTGATTAAATGCCATGCAAATTAAGATCATCCTTTGGAAAAAAGGTCACAAAACTATTTGTAAGGAATTTAATTTGTGCTGATTTATCCGTAGGCTTGCAGTTCATACAGTACAGGTTGTGGTGCAACATTATTAAGATAAGTAAACATGTTGGTAAAAAGGCATCTGAATATTACTTGAAAATGCAACACTAATACAAAAAATGCATTTAAAAGTATCACGCTCCCATATTACCTTTTAGTTCTTTTAGGTCTGGATAACAAACTTATTTACCTCAAAGTAAAGTTCTCACTTGCAATGAGTGATTTATGATCAGACTTGTGCTTGGAAGTTTGATTTTCCTTAATTATCCTTTTTCCTTTGCAGAGGGCCATTGATAAGAAAAGTTCCTTCTCCTCAACTATTCTTCCCACGCCACTCACTTGTGTCTGACTTTTATACTGGAGATGTAGCAGGATTGACGGAGCGACTCCTAGCATCTGACCTTTCACTCGTTGTGTACTATGCCCCCTGGGATAGAGACTCACAACTTCTACGTTGGGAGATAGAGAAAGCTGCTAGATATCACCATGAACAGGTGAATTGATATGATATTGTGAAGGCTCTTGGGAGTAAATTAAGATTGAGTGTAGTCACAGGAATTATGTGTACAAATACAACTATATCAAATCTTTCTCCTCCCCACCCTCTACATTTTTTCCTCACCTTCTCTCTCTCCCTCCAAACCTATACAGTATTTCCCTTCCCCCAGTCCATCCCTATTCCTTACTGCCCCTCCCTTTCAACCTCTTGCCATGCTGGGATTGCTTAGCCACAGGAGGATGTGGCACTTCCTGGTAGTCTTTTATTAGACATGATAGAACTACCCTTAACATTGTGATGCCAAATTATGTTGGCAAGAAGCTGCTATCACTCGCAGTGAACTAAAGCTTCCACTGTGGAAGTGATTATCATTGATGTCTCCATCACCATAGTGAGCATCACCCGCATGTCTTCAGTCAAGAGAAGTAATAATGATCTAATTCTCCCTTGAACAGCTAGATATAGTATGTTGTAGTCACTGGGACATTTTTACAGTACAGTACTTTGAATTTATAATATTCCTATACATTTAGAACTTGCATTCTTTGTTCGGGTACTGTTGCATGTTATACAGATGGATATTGTGACATGAAAAATTTTTGTTAGTGCAGTTGCTATTAGGGCAGTTGGAATGCCTGTCATATTAAAAAAAAAAAGTAAAAGTAAAGTAGACTGCTTGCTGATGTCTCCACAGTGAAGAAACTGCAGGATAAAACATAGAGGACAAAAATTTAAATACAAGTACTTTACTATGGAAAAAATGACTAACAAATAAAACAAATAAAAATAGCTCCTTTTAGACTTGGCAATATTACAATGTGCAAAATGAAGAAAATCATCAAACAGACTAGTTAACGTTGCGTTAAAGTACAAACAAGAAAATGGTGCGGGAATATTGCATGCCAGGGTGCGTAAATCTACTACCACACATAGTCGTATGTTAGCAGATCCAGGCAGTTGAGCACAGAGGAGTATTCTGAATCATGGTGGTGGCCGACTTCTATTTATACGGAGAAATGGCCATCCAGGTGGTGCTGGTGTCTTCGATGATTGGAGGCCGGCTCACACAAACTACCATTGCTCTTGTTCCGGCTGGAGGCGTGAGCTCCCAGCCACCAGGTGCAATGGGGGTGACGGGTATTGGAGTGTAAGTGGGAGTAGACTACTGTCTAGATGTCTGAGAAGTAGTTGTTGTTGCTCTTGCTGTAAATTCTTGAATATACAGACGTGGTGTGGTAGAATAGGTGATGATGGAACAGGCCTAAATCTCCTTTTAAGAGAGATTTTCATGATAATATAAATGTGAGGAGAGATTCTTGTGACAATATAAATCTGAAGAGAGTAGGATTGGCATCTCTGATTTTACTCATTGTGGTACTGTATTTTACAGAACATAACCTATATTCACAGTGAAACTGTTGGCCATATTTGCAGTACAGTACAAGTTTACTACAAAATGTGTAATGAGAAATATATACCATTTACTGTGATTCTATGAGTACGTTATAGACCATGGAAGCATATCATCCTTCTCAACCCATTGACAAAAATCATGGAGTGGCTAATTGTTACAATAAATAGGTGGGGCCAATTCTTTTTTTCCCCCCATTTGGTTCCAAATTCATGTTAATGCCCTGAAATGAGATGGCAGATGCACTTGCAGAATCTCCCATGTCATACCAGATTTGGCTTGCATCTTAGAAGTTCAATCTAGACATATGATCAGCTGTTTTGGCTACTTGGCAGTAGACTTGGAATACTACAAAGGGTCTTGACAAGTTGCAAATTGTAATGGAGTTGGCCTATCCCTGAAGTTCTCGGAAAATTGCTACTAATTAGGCCCTGTGCGTAATTAGGGCAAAGGGGAGGACCCCCACTAAAAAATACTCCCAGTTGGACCCTGCGCCTCCTAAGGCCAGACCTCACCTGATGTCGGGTTTATTTAATGTCAATGATCTCGCTGTTATAAGAAAAGGAAGAAACTAGTCTACTCCTAATTGTTCATTTGGACTGGTTGGAACAGGGGCAGACTTGTGTTGCACAGGATCATCGTTCAATCCCAGATGCTCCAAGTGGTTGGACACTGTTTGTCATCCCATCCTCTTATGCCAGCTCCTTGTCCTCTTATCCCTTCCAAGGGTTATATAGTCACACTGGCTTTATTTCTCCTGATTAACCTTGCTTACTGTAATCTCTAATTCTCTCCCTCCTCTCCTCTCGGTATCTAATCTGGCTGGCTCCTGTTCTTTCAAAGCTTACTCGGTCTTGGATCCTCACCTCTATTTCTTGTCCCCCTTGACTGAGATTTTTTTTTGCCTCTGGCTTCTGGTGATCAAGTTTGTGGGCTTCATGCTCTTTGCTGCAAGAAGGGGCTTTGTTTTTGTTTATTTGTGCTGGGAATTACCCTTTTTATTTCCAGCCTTTGGTTTTTCTGGGGGGAGCCCCTTCGGCACCCCGGAGCTTACTAGGCTGATATGCTAATGTCTGACTTTGGCATCAGTCATGTGTATGGAGTTCTGTGGGCCTACTGGGGACCATGAGCCAGAACCTGGCCCCCTCGGGGAGAGGCATGGGGAGCAATGGCCTATAGAAAGTCCCGTGTAGTTGGAAGCATTCTATGTCTGCCATCGACCGGGTCAGGCACTCAGAAAGGTAAGCATCCCAAGACAAATCCCTATTCTGGTGAAAATTTTGCTACCAAAAGCTGAACAAGTGGATAGAACTCCCCTAAAAGAAAAAAGAAACGAGCACGATGTCACACGTCGCTGCGTCGCTGTCTGCGCAGCTCATCCCTCCCCAGGAGGGGGAAGGGGGATCCCCAGACCCCCGCACTGGCTATCCACCCTTCAATTCTGAGCCTGGATGTCAAAACGCCCGAAAAAAACGCCGACTGGAGGGAGGGAGGGATGCCGGGGAGCCTCCGGGTCTTACCAGAAAATGGCATTTCATTATATTCAACGCTGTTTTTTTTTTTTTTTTATCAAGAATGAGTCCTCATTGGACAGACTTGCTTCCCATGTTTCCATTCTCCCTTTAACCACTGCACTGCGCAAAGCGCCTTTAGGCGCTCAGAGAGTTGTGCTTTTTGTTTTTTAATTTGGCTATATTTTAATGTTTTTTAATGTTTTCATTACTATTTGTGTTTTGAAATGGAAATAGTTGACTTTGGAAACATTTTGACATTAAATTTACCTGAACATTTGTAAAAATAACAAAAATATGTCCTTGACAATTGCACCAAGACGTTTTTGCCGAAAATAGGTGAGCAGTGCAAGGGTTAATAAAACTACATTGTTTGGCTTAATCTGTACTTTGAGGCTTTACTGTTTTGGCTTGATCTCAGATCCTCGTACTCCTTTTGGCTTTCAGTACACCAGATTCTAGTCCTGGTGGTCGGTAGGCCTGCACAAGTTCAGAGGCCTTTTAATTTTGTGGGTGTATCTGTATCCAGGGAGAGGAGAGGGGGGGTGACTTATGAGGCCATCCAGAAAAGGACATTTTGTTACATTCTATGCTAGTTTTGTTTCTTAACAAGTGCAGAAAGTTAAGCATGTGTGCACACAGTAAATCACAATAGCATTCATGAAAATTAGACACCCAACCCACACATTATCAAGTTGTGTGGGTTGTGCTCCTGGAATTTTCAAGTTGGGTAAAGAAAGAATGGTAGCGAGTCACTATCTGAGGAAAGAATGTCAGGTGAAGGGTGAGAAGGCAAAAAGTAGACACTGTGATAGTTAACATAGTAACATAAGACAGTGCATTTGTTCATATTTCTAAACTTTTAATTTGTAGCTTTTACAGGTTGATTTCTTGGTTTAAACGTGTCTCAGTCTTAACAATTATTACAGGTATATTTTGCTGCTGTTAATTGCTGGCATCCTGGCTCAGAGTGCAAGACCAAATACAAGGTTCGAGCTTTCCCAGTGATAATCCTTCATGTGCGGGCAGCGTCTGGTATGGAGACGAAGGCTTTGGCATATGGAGGGCCCAGGGATGCTGGTCACATTATCAGGTTCCTTAAAAGAGCATTGCGTCCTCTCACTCACGTTACCAGCCATTCTGATCTTGCTAGACTACAGATGGAGCATAATGTAAGTTTAGTACTATTATTAGAATATAGTATGCTTGTTTTATACCTATTGAGTGAAGTGCAGAATTCATAAATCATTTATACATCCACTACAACACAAGTGGTTGCGTAAATGGTAATGGAATCCCAGTCCAGATTCCTTCTTGGCACCATACCTAATAAAAATGAAGTAAGTTTGTAGTACAGTAGTAATTTTGACAAGGAGCAATGCATTATTGTGTGAGCATGCTTACATATGTATTATTAATATGCAGCAGCAGCAAATCTGCCTTGTTGATTAAATCATTCCTTTCCACTAGATATGACAGTAATGCAGCTACAGTAATTCCTATAAAAATTTATTCTTGGATTAATTTCTAAATAATAATACGCTGTAATAACAATAACTTGGAATGCCTTATGATGTATCTTTAAATTCGATGTCATACTGGCCTAAAATTTGCAGCACTTTAGTATAATAAGGTAAATTTTAATGTGAAATTTGGCACTGTAGTACAATTGAAACACTTGGGCATCTTTGGAATGAATACCTTACTTTTTTTTTCCAAACTCATTCTGATGTCAATATACTGACCCCCTTCATAATTCAGAACAATTTGGGCACCAGGGGCCAGATTCATGAAGCACTTACTCCAGCACTTATGCCAGCACTTACGAACCTGTACATCTTTTCTCAATCTTTGGAGGCTTTGTTTACAATTATTAAACAGTTAATGAGCTCCAAAGCACCAGGAGGCTGTTTATAACAATAACAACAGTTGATTGGGAAGTTTTCATGTTTGTAAACTGTTTAATAAATGTAACCAAAGCCGTCAAAGATTGAAGAAAGATGTACACGTTCGTAAGTACTTGCGTAACTGCTTTGTGAATCTGGCCCCAGAGTATTCTCAGAATTCTGGAACAGAATGCAGCAATTATGAAAGCAATACCAAAATATAAGCCAAATTAGTCATTACTTTTGGCTTATTGTATTTTTCCAGAACAGTATTTTGGTTTCAGTAATCTTATACATTTGGTATAGTAGTACCTCGGTTTAAGCGTTTAATCCGTTTCTGGAGACAGCTCGTAATCCGAAAACTCGTAAACCGAAGCTAATTTCCCCATAAGAAATAATGGGAAATGAATTAATCCATTCCTGACTACCCAAAAACCTCACTTCAAACTAAATTTTATACCTAATTCATCTAAATCTACACTACCATAGTATGTTCAAGTTATTAGTTACCCTTGCTGATGACTACTGTTGGCGTATGGAAGATAGTGAGGAGGAGGAGGAGAGGTGTTACTGTTTGGAAGGGGAGTCCCCTTCCATTATAACATCAGGCAGTGAGGACTTCACTGGTGTACACACTCTGGCACGTTTTGCCTGCATACCACTAGGACTTGCTTGTCTTACTAAGAATCTGTCTAAAGACACTTGTTTTTCCCTACATTTTAACACTTGTCTGTAGTAAGACATCACATTGTCATTTAAAAGGTCAATGCAACAGCTTTATTTGGGTGAGTTTTTTCAACAAAACTTTGCAGTTCTTCCCATACTTCACACATTTTCTTAATGAAGAAGGGACATCCTCTACTGCCTCTATTCACAACTATTTTCTTAGGTTGAACCTTACCACTGGCTTTCTTGGGACCCATGGCGAGATATATAATTACAACTTTTATGCTCAAATTGGCAAAAATTCTACAAAAAACTGTAAATCCTTGTGAAGAATTCAGGCGGGATAGTCACTGGGCGCGAGGCACTAATAAACTGAGGCGCGATCGCCATGCCACCACGAGCTAGTCGGCCTGTATGCGTATCAACACCCTCATCTTCCCTGTCTTATATTTTATCACTATTACCTGTAATTATTATTATTATTAAGGATGTTGTTAATTTCAGGCTGTAGTTCTGGGTTTCTATGATTTTGCATCAGTAAGCCATTTACCAAGAGGCTTCAACTCTTACCATCTGGCTTCTCTACGTGCATTACAATTTGACAAGACCAATTCGATTGCATGGGGTGTGGTTACAAATAATAGAGTTGCCACAGCTCTCTCCTTCAACGAAACCAGATCAATCCATTTAGTGCTGTGGAATACTACTTTGGTAAGTTATTTAATACATCGGATTCATTATCCTCTAAATAGTTTCATAAATCTTAACAGGATGAAGTAGTTATATATTCTGTTATCTGCCAGAGGAATATGTTATAGCTTTCACTTATTTTCCTTCAACTTTGCTATGTCTTCATGATAGTTGGAGAATGCCTTTACATAATTAGTTGACTTGTATAATGAGGCATTGTACAGTATTATGAATGTAAATTTCTATCCATTGTATATTTTGTATAGATTAATGTTATTAGTCAACTCTGATTTTGATACTCATATAGTGATCATCAGGGTTGACAGAGTACTAACAGATATCAAATAGTTGCCGGCATCTGTAATAAAATTAAAAAAAAAGTGAATACCTACTCACTCTGATGGCATTCTTATGTGCTACAATGTGGCTGAGAACAAATAACCAAAATCCCCCACCAACAATTAAGCGAGTGTCGACTGTGTTGCGGTGTCGGTGTCATATGGTTCATGGACCATGACAACACAATTTTGCTGACAAATCTAGTAAAGAAAAGAACTGTGATGATCATGTTAGAGGATTTTTCTTTCCTGTTTTCCTTTAGTTTGCACAATGTGTGGAATAACTCAATTTTTCAGTACTGTATTTAAAACCAAATTCCAGGGTTCATTTTAATTTTGTGATTCATCATTTTTTTTGTTCACTAATATTGGTTCTTTTTCCTTTTGAAAATGAGATTTCAAGGCTAGGGTATGGGAAATATGCTAGCTGTAATTAAATCTCTTTACAGACAAGTTCTCTTGGTAGTTGTCCTTCATATGACAGGTTTAAATTAAACTTTTGCTCAGTCAAATCAGCCCATAGAGAGTGGGAAATATTAGGGTATGAATGGTAACTCTTAAACAGATAAAAGTTGACTTATTGTAGTACATAAGGAAATGGAGAAAAATGTTAAGTTGGTGTAATAATACTGTAAAATTTCTGTATCTACCAGCAGATAGGATACAAGATTTTTAAAACTACAATGATTATAAAAGTACCCTGTGTCTGATGTCCCCAGATGGTCCCAGTGCCATTGGTCCTTAGCTAGTATGATGAAATGCAATAATAAAAATTCCCATTAAATATCCTTTTTAAATGGGGGGGGTGCATTTTGTGCTCAGGTGCCTAATGTAATTAATAAAGCTAAATTATGTTTGCAAATGTTGAGGTGTTTACGGCTGCTGCGTCATCGGACAGTGAGGGTATCAGTAGCTGGGTGAACAAGCGGCTAGATGAGACGGCATCCTGGCTAGATCTACCCGGCACAAAGAGCTTGGCACTAGATAATGTTTTGCAGAAGGGGCCGGCCTTAATTCTCTTCACCCCAGATAATCCCTACCATGCTACAAATGATCCTTTCACTGTGGTATGTATCTGATTAATCATGTGAAGCTCTTGTGACATTAGGTTTTTATATATTTGCTTATTATACAGAGGTTTCACAATTAATCCTTAAAACTAATGAATACCAATACTGATACCCTGTACCATTATTTTTATTGTAATTCTGTTTTATGAACTGATAAAGTACTGATAGGGTGGTACTCTAAATAAAAATGATGCCCTAATACTGTACTAATTCTGTACAGTACTTAATATTTTCATTGGATGATGGAACTAGACCCACCTGTATAAAAATGTAACAAATTAATGCCAAAACTTTACCAATTGTGCAGAAATAGGCTGATCCCTGTGCTCCCTTATCCCCTAATCCCTGTGTCTTTTTGAGGGGGGGGGGAGGGGCAGCTAGGTTCTGACTCTAGTCTCTGGCAGGTGAGGGGGGGGGGGCAGCTAGGTTCTGACTCTAGTCTCTGGCAGGTTAATAAGACTCCAATGACTGATGTGGCCAAGTATTGGGAAGCTATATCAGCAACATAGCTTCTGGGAGCCACCAAGGCTTACCCAGAAAAGGGGGCTTCATTACATTCAACTGTTTTTTTGCACAAAAAATGTAATTGGGGAAAAAGGGAATATCAAATAGTTCACTACTCTTATTTTAGCTACAGTTTGACCTAACATTGTGATCACTGAGAAATCCATGGGAGCCGTGAAGAGGATTTGAGCCTATACGCTAGGTATTCCCAGACACTCGCTTTAGGCGACTAGGCCATGACATGGTCGAAAGAATTACAAACCAATATCACATTACTGTGATTTCTCTGTGTATTGTGATCATTGCTGAAAATGAGGTGCTGCAGCAAGAGAGTTGTGTATAATTTGCACAAATTGCCCTGTAAAGTTAAAAAAAAAAAAAAAAATATTAGTTTTTTCTTAAACTTTCACAGCTACGTGAAATCTCCTTGGACTACAATAACTGCAACCAGTCCAGCCGTGTGTCAAACTTGGCCCGCTACTTGAGCTCGTTGAGGGCCAAGGGTCGTAGTCAGCTTCGGCAGGCAGAAAGAGTGTGCCGAAGTTATCTTCAAAATCAGCTGCACATTTTGCACATGTCAAAGCAACAGTTAAACTTTAAAGGTTAGTTTGAGAAAAGTTCCATTGTATAGTACAGTATAAACACTTTAGATATAAAATGTTCTTACTCTTTAATAAAAGAATTCAGATAGAAATGCTTGTGTTGAAAGTTATGACACTTAACATTGAGCAACATATGCCAGAGTACCACTTGATCAGTTTTATCAATGTTGTTTGCCCAAGGAAAGGGGGAGCGGGAGAAGGTTTTAGCTCTGCAAGGTTAACCCAGGGCATAATGTTGACTGAATAGCTTGCCTCATAATTATACATGTACTGTACAGTAGAGTAAATAAATTCAGGGATTTGAATACTTTTTAAAAGCCACAGTGGCCCAAGTTATATCCCCAAAATCCATTAAATCAAACTTAATAGAACCCAAGTCTCCCTGAATGTACATGTGTGTAATTTCCCAATTGTAATTATCTAAGTGTAGGTAAAGGATGAGCTATGCTCGTGGTGTCTCGTCTTCCCAGTATTCGTCATAATATGATGTTTTGAAACTACCAACGGGTTTATCCTTCACGACCCTCTCACTTGATTTCCTTCAACCGTCTACCACTCTGTTTACAACAGTCAACCTTCTAATGGTTTTCTGGCAGCTTTGTTTCCTTAGTTTGAACCTATATCATCTTTTTATTGAAGTTCATGTTTTTTACAAATTCTTTGTTAATTTTGTCAATTCCTGTTACTATTTTGTACATGGTGATCATATTGCCTCATTTACTTCCATTTTCTGGCTTTGGATTATTTAACAACTCTAACCTCTCCTCGTAGCTCGTGTCTTTTAATTCCGGAAGCCATCTAGCTGCATGTATTTGCAACTTTTCCAGTTTAATGTTATGCTTCTTGAGATATTGGCACCATACAACTGCTACATATTCCAGCTTTGGACTCGTGAAGTCTGTACGTCTCCATGATTAACTCGCCCAAAGGGGCGAGTTAATCATAGAGCCTCAAGCCATCATGCTCTTTACTGGCTATTTCTCTAACATGGCCGCCTGATAGTGCCTGTAAATACACTTTAACTGAAGTACAGTGTGACCCTTATTTTCAGGACCAATTGGTATCTCGGATAACTGAAAATCTGGACAGTTGAAGATAAGGTAATGGCATGTGGCTAGGTCAGGCTTTGTGAGGAAGTTCCAGACCTCTTCACACCAATGCTCATCAACTTGTAACTGTAACCAGGATTTCATTTTAGATTTTGACCATTAATAAGCATTCTGTTTCTCAAATCTTTCACTCTATGATGAGATAGCATGGATAGGTTTATTTGGCTAAGAAAATAATGTAAACATTTCATAGGAAACAACATTTTGGTGTTGCTTCTGCACACTGCAGACCTATTAAGCATGATGCAAATTTGCTCTTGTATATTGCTCTTGTATAATTTGCTCCAGGCATTAGAAAACTGTTTATTGGTCTCACTTCCTATATCATAAAATAGTATGGATTGGTTGATATAATGTAATTGAGAGAAGAGTTGTCAGAGCTGTCCATGGTGGCAGGCTCGCAGCCACCCCACACACCTAACTCCTTGTCATTGACAACCATATGTACACATAACATTTACATGTAATTTAGGATTCTCGCAATATAACATTTTTCTCTTGCATTTGACTATATAAAGAGAGAATATGTATAGAATTCTTTGAACATCCATAAGGTTAATGGAGGCAGATAATATTTGTCTTAACAATCCCTGAATTAGTAAAACTGTGAACTGAATAATGGGGGTTTGACTGTACTGTACTTAGCACAGCGAGGTTGTGATTGTCTCCTAGTTGACTAGAGCCTGGCATGTGTGTGGGGACCCAGGTCCTGGTTAGGGAAGTACACCAAGGTACTGCTCAGAAAGGAGCATTATATTTCTCTCTGCCTTATTTTATTTATTCAAAAAAATGGTCTTTGAAGTAATGTGGAAAAATTACAGCACACAGGAAGATCGAAGGTATATTATATATATTAGTTGGAGGTAATAAATGCAAATTAAACATCAAATGGGAACAGACTTGAAAAGGAAAATAATGTTGAAAAAATTTAACGGTATCATATAAATGCGGTGAACTGGAGCAGATGTTAAGGATGGACTGGATTAAGAGATTATATGACTGGAATGGAATAAACTATTGAAATAATTATTCTGCGATGTGTTGGGGCCTGACTGTGGAGGTAGTGAATAAGGCACTTTGATAAGTAGTTAGTAGGAGAGGCAGATGGAGAACTTTTGTATTCACAAACAAATACTGTATGTACTGTATTGGTAAACATGAGTGAAGGTTAATCTTTAAATTGCAAACAATATAGTGGCTGTTGAATTGAACTAGCATTTATTTTTTGTATAAATTTGTTCCAATTCATTTATCAGAATTTGTATTCATAAGTGTGATTAACTGAATAATGCCACTCTTTTTAGACGAGACATGTTGTCGCAGTATGCCCTCTAGCGAGGCACCAACTGCAACAACAGGTGAACAAAGCAAAATGTGTGACGTATGTGACCGTTCAACTGATAGATTCAGCACCCTACAACAACACTGCATCAACCCCATTTCATGGTAAGAAAATGAGATTTAATGAATTCAAATTTTTATTACTGTGCGTATCTTGGTGAAAAGAGCATGTCATGATGGAAAGAATTAGTGAGAATAGGTTGGCATGCCCAATCTATCCTCAGGTCAGGCTTGTTAAAGTGGTGGCCATCCCCCAAGATGTATTCATCAATTTCATCATTCTGTGTATTAAAAATAGGGTTCTTTTTGTATGCAAATTAATATTAAATATTAAAATTCAATGTTCGGTATACTGTAGTTATGCAAGGTGATTACGTTCTGTTACAGACAAATTGCACTAAAGTGATACATATATTAGAAAAAATTCACTAGGCCTGTGAGGTGACGCGAACCTGCGACCAAGGCATTGCCAGCCACATACAGTACTCTACCACTGTACTATCGATGACTTGTCAGTCATACAACTGTTTGACTTTCACAAGTCGTCAGTGGTAGAGTATGCGGCGGGCAATGCCTTAGTCTCGGGTTCGGGTCACCTCACAGCCCTAGTGGATTTTTCCTCATTAAGTTCTGTTTGTATTCAAAGTATATAGATGAAGCATTTGTAGATTTGGGATTCAAACAGGTTATCAACGAACCACTGTTCAAGAAATGTTTGACATCATCAGTTGACTCGTGTGTAAGCTGTTTATCATTCATAAACAGGGGGCTTGGTGGCTGGATTAATGAACATTTGGCCCTTTGTTGATGAGGACAGGCTGGCATACCACCCTACAAAGCGAACCGATGTTCAGCTATCCAGTTGAATGTCAATGATTGTTTTTTCAACAATTTTTTTTATGTAAATGTTCATAAAGCATTGTTATGTTGCAATAATTTTTTTTTTCATATTATAATTGAGCTTCTGGCATGTGCCACCCCCTGAAATTAGCTGGGGTTGAAGGTGCCAGTACAGTGCCATACATGAAACTTTAATAATTATGGTTGTGCAACAATTTGTCTGTCTACACCTGTATGTATGTTTATTATTTTTTAGAGCAAGGCTTCCTCAGCTGTTTCCCAGGCAGTTCATAGCAGAGTAGTCTACATCTTTGACTCGGTCAAGGATCTTCTCTTGCTAACTAACCCAAATAGATGTTACATTTTCTTTCACCTGATTCCTCTGTTCACCTAGCAGTATAATAAGTGTTGAACAAGTGCTGTGGGTTGTTTCCTGGGGATGGCCAGTAGTTGATAAAGGGAGGACCTCAAATAGCCTTAGTACAGGCTTCCTGTCCCTGTCACCAGCAATTATATGCCAAGCTTTCATCTAATTTTAATCCCAGCATGGCAAAGGACTTGACAAAGGCCTTGCCATGTCATGTAGGGGCAGAGGTAGTAGTGAAAAGTTCACCTCACATGACCACCAAGAGACTGCTGGCTGTGACACCAACCACCAGGACAAACTTCTCAACACTTTCAAGCCAAGCTATTCTTGACATTTGACAACATGCCACTGTCCATAAATGCTCAGAATTGAGGCCTTCCTTTATTTACTTCGTACAGTAATACTTTTAGAGCTTTGTAACCCTAATTTCAGTAACCCAAATCTTCGGGTAGCCCAAATGAATTGGTGTTCATCGTGCAAGGTTGAGAGTAAGCAGGTAAGTGATGAGAATGTGTGGGTAAATGGCTGGAGTAACTAGGCTGTGGTACAAAACTTGAATTTGTTAACTTTTTAACAAGCCAGGTAAGAAATTCGGCTAACTTGAATGTTCAGCTAACTCGAATGGAGGTGGGGACCCCATATGATTCAGATTACCAAGTGCAGACAGTATGCTTTCTCAAATGCTCGACAGTCCCAATAGACACCAGCTGAGGGGGGGGGGGGGACGTAATCTTGTGGCGCCGGGCTACACGATTACGTGTCCAGCGTGCAATCCACACAGCCACCGGCACCCCCCCCCCCCCCTGTGTACGTGTGTGTGTGTGTATTTGCAACCACATTATTCTTATATTTTAGTGTAGGTTTGATTATGTTCAGACAGATGTCCTAAGGGTTTGAAAGTTAACTTTCTATAATGAATGTTCTCACTTTAATATAGGGAAGATGACACCAGCTTGCTCCAGCATGTAAATAACCTAATGGCTGTGTTCAGCGACTCGTGCCGTGAATTGCTGCTCCAGTACAGTCCATGGGAACAATATTCTTTCTGCTGTCAACGTAATAGCACTCCTGCTAAGACAAAGACTTCAAAAACTCAGCATTCTGAGGAGCAAAATGAAGAATATAATGTAAGTAATTACTTGTTAATGCTCTTTAGAAAATTTATATATCTGTTCTGCTGAACAGATAATTTTTGATAGAAGGATTTTGGGTAATCTATCTGTTCCATTAAATACGATTTAGTGTGTTTAAGACAGGATAATGCAGTTATGCAAGATGACAGATCATACTGGTGCCACAAAGAACATTTCAGGCTGTGCAGAGAAATGTCACAAAAATGTCAATGAAAATTAATACCCAACCCACACAAATGGAAAAAGGAAAGTGGCAACATTTTGATCCATCGTGGACTCTTATGAAGCCAAGAAAGAGGAGGAGAGAAAATGTTGCCTTACTCTATATTGATTCCCTCGTTCTCTAGACAACTTGATAAGTCTCCACAATACACAGATTCCACATAATTTTCCTTCATGTCATGTGTTGGATGGGTATTATTTTAAACTGTCACTGCAAGGTCTCATAAGTGCTTAGGAGTCTCAGAATAAAAATTAATCCAGTCCTGGAACATAAACCAGTACCCTTCATAACCCCCCCCCCCCCCCCCCCCCCCCCCCCCGCCCTTCCCCTTGATATCACAAAGAACCTGCTATGGAGTACTTGGGGGTCAAGTGCTAGATGGCCTGTTTGGATACACATAGCAACATGCCGGAACAAATGTGGACATCTTCAAAAAAAAACTAGATAGTTTTCTTAAAGAAGTGCCCGACCAACCGGGCTGTGGGACTGCGGGCCACTCCAAGCAACAGCCTGTTGGACCTAGCTCTTACAAGTCAAGCCTGGCCTTGGGCTGGGCTTTGAGAGTAGAACAACTCTCAGAATCCCATTCAGCAGGTTTCAACCAGCCTCAAGCTCCAGCACCATATTACACACCCAGGTTCAGACCCCTGAGATACCACACATATAGTCAGGGCTGGAATTACATGTTGAAGAACCCTGATGTAGAAGTACACACGACCTGGTTATGACGGCAGCACATTTGCCCATTATTACATTCATCGATATTTAAAAGCACTGTAATCACACATAAATGCACCTACCTAGGCTAGGCAAAAGCAATAATATGATACTGTATTGTGGAAAAAAAAACATGCAATTCTGAAAGTGCTTGGGGGTCTTACGTAAAAACTTTGACTGGCCTCGGGAGTGGCCTCCAGACTTCCTGTGATATCAGTAGAAATCTGGTTGTACTGTAATTCTTTTTACAAGTCAGTGGTGGTACAGTGGTAGAGTATGCAGCTAGCAAGGCCTTGGTCACCGATTTGCGTCGTCTCACAGCCCCCAGTGGATTTTCTCTTTGATGTACACTGTATCATGTTAGTGTGATTTTCAGTGTGACTAATAATATACTGTAGTATTATAATAATAATACCTGTAATAATGTTTGTAATATAAATTGTTGTCCATTAAATATAAACACCATTATGGCTAAAGTACACTGTATAAAGAATGCCTTGCTGAATATTACTGCCTGTAATAGCAATGAATGGAAAGAATGTGAATAGGATAGAGGCACAGAGAATAGTAATACATAAATGTAAAACACAAGTTCCTGTGTTAAAAAATGAACAAACTGAATTTCATTCAGACAAGTGTGGTTCAATCCTTATTGCACTGTATATTATACCCAATATGAAAATGATAGCAATAGATGTCATGAGTTATAATTACCATTTGCCAGTGTCATGGTGGGGGTCAGCCTCTTCTCACAATGTGTCAAGTGTCGGATTTAATGTGGTGTTTCCAAACCAGGAAGGTTCAAACTTGAGCATCCTGCATCTGACATGCAATGTCTGAGGCTAAATCAGTATTCCAGTGCTTTTTATTTCATTAAGGCATCAACATTTGTTAATGCAGATATCAATTGTGACAAAATTATTGTTGTTTACACTAGAGGACAGGTTGTGGAGGGAAGGGGGGGTGTAAATGGTAAATGTAGAGAACAATTTTCATAGTTACTGGAAAGCATTGCATAGATAAGTGAATATTTTGCCAGTTATATTATCAATGTTTAGTTTTGTCTTTCATTTAGTGCTATTTTGTAATGTGACTTAGTAAAGGGCATTTTTTAAAGCAGATGGAGAGTGGACACACTGATGATCGTATAGAGAAGCTTGTGGCCATGGCTGCGGAAGACCAGTGTAAACAGCTGTTCCAGGGATCTCTCTTATCGCAGCATCCCTTCTTGCGGGATCAACATCCAGCACCTGATGTCACTGGTACGTAGAGTCAGGACGACATGCTGCACTTAATGTCTTTTTGTTTTTTGTTCACCTTTCTCTTCTTTAACTCACTTTTGGCAGGCAGGCATGCTGAATGCAGGCAGGCAGGCATGCTGAATGCAGGCAGGCAGGCTGAATGCAGGCAGGCAGGCAGGCATGCTGAATGCAGGCAGGCAGGCAGGCAAGCTGAATGCAGGCAGCCAAGCAGGCTGGATGCCTCTGTTCACCAAACAGTAAATGGATGCCCTGGGAGTTAGGCAATACCAGTAGTTGTGAGTTGCATCCTGGAGGAAGGTCAGACGTAGGCCTATTGGGACTTGGGAATTTCAGGCGTGCTGTTGTCAACATTGCAAAACTGTGAAAAATATTAAAACAATTAGGAACTATGACATTTTTACAATCTTCATTATTTGCTATGAAAATTATTTTTACAGGCCTGGCATGCAAGAAAAACAAGACTTTAACATTTTTAGCGGTGGACTCGCTACATCACAGAGACGTAGCGGAGAAGCTGGGAGTTAACCTGACGGCCAGGGAGCCTCATGATACAGCCACTGTCATCGTTGATGTCGAGAGAGAGGCTCACTTCATCATGGATGCCAGCTTATCCAAACTTACATTAGCTAACTTTATCATCAATTACACTAATGGTCTCCTAGAGAGGTGAGTTCAAATGAAATGGTTTGAGTTTCTTGACTTTGTACAGTAGTGCTCTTTTATGGGTCTTGTAGACAGTGGTCGTCATCCTTCACTCACAATTGATGGACCTGGGTTCAATCCCCGGGGCAGGACAGGAGTGGTTGTGCACGTTTTCCTTACGCCTGATTTCTCCTGTTCACCCAGCAGTTTTATAGGTACTCGGTAGTTAGACAACTGTTGTGGGATGCATCGTGGAGAAGATCAAAAGTTGGCCTAGGAGGGCTCTTGGTAACCCTAAGTACAGGCTTTCTTTTCCTGATAACAGGAATTATAGCCATGCCTCCTGCAGTTGTATGGCTCCAGTATTGAGCAACATATTATGTACAATAACTATATATATACTCTTCGTTGAAACATTTGCCTCTACATACATACTTACATTGTTTCTTTCCATATTCATTTGTTTGCAATACTTGAGCATGCTGCTATCTACACCCACACATTTGTGCTGCCATCTACACCTCAACAATTGTGCTACAATTGACACCACCTCACTCCTACTACCATTGACACCACCACACTCCTTCTGTCATTTACACCCCCTCAAACATGCTCTGCCATCTTCACCCCCTCGAACTTGTGCTGCTGTCTGCACCTTCTTGAACTTGTGCTGCCATCTGCACCCCCCCCTCCCTTGAACTTCCTCTGCCATCTACACCCCTCCCTTAACCTTAACCTAATGCCTCCATTCACTTAGTAGTAAGCAGGTTACTAAGTTCAGTAACTTAAAGTTACCTGCAAGTTTGGTGACTGTTCTGGGGGGTTGCATCCTGGGGAGGGCCAGTAGGTCGACTATTGATGGGGTGGGGGGAGGGACATCGATGAAGTCTAAAATATATTTATTCACAGGCTTCATGTCCCTGATGGTAGGGATTGTTATAAATCAATAAGGTCAAATAATTCATATTGTGAGGAGGAGAGAGCCTGTACCTGGGCTCATTGACGTTCCCCACTACCTTGAGATTACCTCGAGATGGTTTCGGGGTTTAGCGTCCTTGCGGCCAGATCCTTGACCAGGCCTCCTAGGTTTAGTTACACTGACCTTCCCCACAATAAATGAAGGAGGACAGTTAATTTTGGGTTTTAAAGATTGTCAAATCTAATTTCTTTGAACAAATTTAGTGTAAAGTCTAATTTCTTTACTTTCCGTATAGATCAGGGGTCGGGGAAACAGGAATAAATTACCCCAAATGGGGTGACAATTTAAATTTTTGGGGTAATGAAAGCTCAAGAAACAATAATAATAAAAGTGTATAAAATATTTTATACAATTTTTTTCTATTTGAAACTTTTGAACCTAGAGCAAAATTCCTGCATAAGATTTTCCTAGATACTTCATGTATGTAGCACAACAAAATGAAACCCTAACTGTTGTGGTTGGAGCAGGTTGAGTGCTCAAATGATCAGTTCAGTTATCATTGTGGCAACACTCTCCATGCATATTATAGCTAATGTTAGTTATGTTGTCTACAGCAGTGTGACATGTGACTTAAGCTCTTTATGTTTACTTTGAAGTCTGGGGGTAATATCATTTTAACATAAATAGATGTGTGGTAATGCCCAAGAAAGTTCTCCAACCTAATCTAGATCCTTCATTATCGGTAAGGTTGCCCAATCTACACTGTACAATATCTACACCCTGAACATCAACATTAAGCTATAATACAACAAGGCTGGTAGACGAGCCTTGTTGTACCTGTACATAGAGCTAGGACCTCACTTCGCTGTAGTCACTGACAGGTAAGCGCTTTCCACTTGAATCCCTCATTATTAGTTCTATGGAAATGTGGGATTTACCTGCGACGTGTCCACGTCTCGTCGTCTCGGAAGTGTCTCTCCTGACCTACCTTCATTAACCATTTCCATGCTCCTCACAGTTAGGGCTTGAAAATCCACTGGAACAAAATGTTGTAGTTTTCTCTTTAATGTGTGGATATTGCATTCAGTTGTAAGAAGTTCAGTATTGCAAGTAACCGTGTATGTGAAGGAATGTACATAAGCACTATAAATTATTAACGTGTTTTAATGTGACTATATTGAAGCCATACAAAGGGATCGAACTCCAGTATACCTGGGGAATCCAGGGATGGGAGTTTGATCCCACTGTACCACCTCAGCATTTTCTTCTACTGAGTACATGATAGCACAGTGTTTATAGCATTTGTAACTAAAAATGTTTAGAATAGTACAGTACTTATTTAGGAACAAGAATGATAAAGTACATAAAATATATAATTAACAAGAAATTCTTATCTATACCTGTACTCTGAGCTGATGCAGATTTTCATCAATTGCTTCTGTGAATTTTTGTTTCACTTTTCATTTTCACTAAATTGAATGGATAATGTAGATGATGCTGGGCTGGGTACTAGCATAGACAAGAGCCCTATGAATGCCACTCTTAACCTTATTAAATCCGTATCTCCTCAATAATTGTCGAAACTCATTTCTTACACACTATGCTCCTAGCAGAAGCCTTTGACACACACCATTTTCACCTACATATTAAAGGGAAATTTCATAATTTTGCAATTAATCCAGGAATGGGAGATTGATTCAGGAACACAGGTATCGTGTGCACCTCTGTGGCCAAACTGCAAAAAAGCTAGGCATCTTCTAGTTAAACGCTGATTTGTTCAGTTTTAGAAACATTCAGTTGTCTACAAAGTTATTGGTTTGCCCTGCGAGATCCAACCACTTGGACTGATCAGTAGATGTTACTGCAGGGTCGGGATTCGATCACTAGCCCAGGTGGTTGGGTACCATTCCTTCATTCCGTCCTCGTATCCCAGTTCCCGGTCCTCGTATCCCTTCCAGGTGCTATATAGTCATGCTGGCACAGCACTTTCTCCCCATAATTTCCCTTCCTCTTGCCTACGCTGCAAGGTTTTGTGTATAGTCATTTGTGATGTTTGAAGACCATGGGATGAGTCTACTGTTGGCCTTATTGAAGCACACAGTTCAAATTTTTTCATATTTGTCTTAGTATTACTGCATTAGATATTATTTTCTAGAATTATGGTGACAGGACAAAAGGATGCGAAAAGTTGTAAACCTTCCCAAGTATGCATCCAGGAATTGACATCAGAAAATTATTTTCAGCTCACACAGCAAACAGGAAAGGTAAGATTAAATTTATCATTTATTGTAGCTGTGTTGTTAATTGATAAATGAATACATTTGTATATAATCACATTTTATTTAGAAAAATAAGACCATGTAATACATTCACAAATATAAAAGACAAGTTAGTGACAACATTTTGGTCGGTCGTGGAGCCTTATCAAGTTGTGACTTGATAGCGGTCCAGGCTACACCAAAATATCAATTTAATTTCTTTTTATATTTGGGGTTTATTGGTTTCATCCATGTTATTGTGACATATTCACTGCACGTGACTCTGTAATGTATTATAACTTTTGTAATACTATAAAATAGTTCTTCTGATATACCGGTACTGTATATGGGTTTATTACAATTCGGATTTTTTCTTGTTTTTCTCAACTGAAGATGGTGGTAGTTCTTCACTATAGCAGCAACTGTGCAGCCTGTACTACCGTTGGACACGTGTTTATGACGGTGGCTCATATGGCTCGTCACATTCCAAACTTGACCTTTGCACGTATTAACGTGCTTACCAACACTCTGCCGTGGCACCTCTTCTTTGACACCCTTCCTTCCATTATTGTGCACCCACATTACAGGTAAGTTGAGTGTTTTACTCTACAACAGTTTCCCATTTTATTTTCTTGACACTGTAAAACATGCCATATAGTTAAAGGACAGATGCTGTGACATTTTGCTGAGATGTCCAAGGATTATTGTACTATGTAACTTAAGCCACATATATGAACACCCATGTTAAGCGTCCAGGACGGACCAAAGCATCGGCACATTTATTTTTGTTTCTTGTGTGCTGGGTTTGTGTTTTCAGTCACGTTACTGTGATATGCGCTCTGCATTATTATACTGTATAAATAAAATGGCCTGAATGACTGGTCGACTCGAAATTGTTTTGCTAATATCATGCAGAAAAATCCCAATCTAATAATTGAAGGGAGAGAGACTGACGCTCCTGGCTGTCAGTGTGATGTCCTACACATTATTCAGCTCATTCTCTCAATTTACCATTTAAGGACTGGCAGCTTCAAAATATTGGTCCAAATATGAAATATAGTATAAAATGTTAAACAAGTCTAAACATGTTATTTGGCATCAGCATCGTGAAAATTTCATCCCAATATGTTAAGAAATGGATTTGATATAAATAAAAAAAAAGGTGTGTAAATGGTATTGATGATAGTAATAACATCTAGTTAGTGCAACTTGTGGATAGTGCAGTGATAACGAGATGCAAGCACCTGTCCAACGCACGAAGAATAGTAGTACAGTAGTAAGAGGAGGGTCCACAAAGTGGATGTGCAGCTGGTGCCTTCTATGATTGCCGAGTGCCACCTGTAGGGCAAAATTTCACTCAAATAATAATGTGTAAGTATGTTATTTTGCTGTATTCTGTTATATATCATATAAATACATTGCCCAATGCCTATATTTCTTATGTCCTCCAATTTTGTTTTTCTCTTTTGTTTCTTATCTGATTTTGTTGTGGCTTCTACATCTTGGAGAATACATACCCGCCACTCAGTGCCGTATGTAAAGTTGGAACAAAATTGATCAACATGTAAATCAGCCACAGGTGGCAGAACTCGTGACTTGTAATTATTTTTGACTGATTTTTTCAGATTTCAAACTCTTCCTTCTCTTTAGGTTGTTTTGCAGAATGGGGATCAAATAAGGGCTTTGTCACTTATATTAAGTATACTTATATATCCCCTAACCCATTATTCTTGTCCCTATATTTTGTTTTTTGGGGGGCTATTTTTTCTTTACTTCATTTCAACACACATTGGTCTACAATTTTCACATATTCGAGTGCGAATGCCAAGCAATATTTGTTAAAACTTACAAGGAAATCCATGAAGTAGGACAATTATATAGAATGCTGAGAACTTGAACTTCATTTTTATCTATAATTAAATTTTCAGCGTTGAGAGGCTTTAAAAAATCCAGTTTCTGATTGACTCTCACCATTTTTACATTATGTGAAAAGTTGTCTGTTCTACAACATTTATCTTTTGTTTTTTCATAAATGCCAAACTTTTGGAGTTAAGAGTATAAATTTTTGTGTCTATATTTGGCTCATATTTCAAATGCCACATTGACAAAAAAAATTTTACAGTAAACTATACTGCCAAATTATATTTTAAAACATAATAAATGAAGATCATATGCTATTGTGGGACCACAATAACACTAAATAAACAATCGGTGATATTTTCCATTTTTTAAAGCTCATTTGAATATCTGAAATTTTCAAATGATAAAAATATATATTTACAGTATATATATTTTTGTCGTTATGTGGGTGATCAATTGGGTAAAGTTGCCACATTTACAATACAGAATATGTAAAGAAAAATTGAAGGTGTTTGAGAAACACAGTTCCCAGGCCCTTAAAGAAGACAACTGTTTTGCCTAATTTGAAATGTTCCAACCCAAGCAACCCACCTAATCCCTCAAGGCTGATGCATAGAGAACTTCATTATTATGGGGCTTTAATTTTCATTAATACTGTGTGTTGCATTTTTAATGGATTACTTAATTTTGTCAAATGTAATGTATTAGAGGAGAGATTGGGGCTGCATTATTTGATTGTTATTTTCTTGTATGTAGAAATTACCATACAGTACATGAATAACACGGTTATTGTTTTGATGCTGCAGCCATTTTTATAATTGACTCAGTGTTTTACATTATTTTAATTTCATGAAAATTAAATCTAAGCAATGTAAGCATTTTTAGCAGTAATTAGTTTTCTTGGGCGAGCCCGTGTGGCTCCCTGAAGATAGTGCTGATATAGTGCCAAACTACAAGGTGCCATCAGTTGTGGAGTTCCTGTAGAGTTACCAGGGTCCACGAACCACAACTTGGTTCCCTCTAGAGACACAGTGAGTGGTGCCACTATGACAAAATTGTCAATGAATTTGAACAACGTCCACCACCACAGAGGAAGCACCCACAAAGTCAGTGAAACACAACAGACTGCAGCTCCAAATGGGTGAAGTAGTCCTCCACAAAATAGACAGAGATCTAGGAGTTGATATGAACCTGCTTCCTGAAGCCCACATCAAAAGAAAACTATCAGTGGCATATGCAAGACTGGCTAACATGAGAAAGCTTTTAGAAACTTGTGTAAGGATTCATTTAGAATCTTGTATACCATACAAATAAGACCGATCCTGGAGTATGTGGCTCTGGCGTGGAGTACATACCTGTCAACCACAAGACGAAGCCGGAGAAGGTTAAAAGGTATGCCACTAGATTAGTCCAAGAAATAAGAGGTATGAGTTACAATGAAAGGCTGCATGAATTGTGCCTCACGTTGCTGGAAAACACAAGTTTGGGGAGACATGATCACCACATACAAAATATTCAAGGGAATTGACAGGTTACATAAGGACAGATTTAGCATGGGTGGTACACACACAAGGGCACACAGGTGGAAACCAAGTAACTAAATGAGACAGACATTAGAAAGAACTTTTCAGTGTCAGAGTAGTAAATAAATGAAATGGATTAGGAATTGATGTAGTGGAGGCCGACTCCATACACAGTTGTAAATGTAGATACGATAATAACCTCGGGAACCTGTACATTAATTAATTAATTGACAGTTGAGGTGGAACCAAAGAGCCAAAGCTCAACCCCCGCAAGCACAACTAAGTGGGTATACGTACAGTTTATGAATGATATAATATTAGTATGAATAAAAACAGGGTTTGCATGTACAGGCTGTATTTATATACTCAAAACTGTACATGTGTATACTGTGTTTTAAAAGTTTATACATAATGAACACCACTCTTGACACATCAATACAACATGTTAGCATGAAAAAACTAAATAAACAAAGAAAGAAACAATGAGAACAAATTGTCAAATTTATTCCCGTGAGACACCTTGCCTAATTTTGACTGAAAAACTGCATCTTCCTTGGGACATTACAGCTGAACCACAGTAGGTAGAGACGCATTACAGTACTTGAATATTTGTGCTTTCTGGTTGATTAACAATGTCAAAATGGGAAAAACAATTCAGAAAAACTTTTGTTTTTCTTGTGTACGAGATGTTCTTCAGAAGTAGTCTTCAAAGTGTCTTCAAAGTTAGGGTGTTGGACAAAGTTTCACTTAACCCCTACAGTGTGCACCTGTTACATACAAGTGCTAAGTTGTGCACCAAAAAATTGATCAAAAATAAATTTTCTTTCAAATATTGTTAAAATGTGTTCCGTGACCGCTGGAAAAAACTAATTTTATGTAGTTTCCTTTGACCATGGCGAAGCGAGAAAATATCGTGATAACGTCACCGATTCACAATTCTGGTCTCGGAATCCTGAATAAGAATCATTTTTCACATTTATTCGTCTTGTAAAGGAACATGTGGTCCCATGGCAGTCTGTGCAAAAGCCCAAACTGCGGCTATATGCTGTTTGTCTTGCTTTAGAAACACCACCACCAGGATTGGGTTTACTGATATTTGAACCTTGTACATGATCTTTTTCACTATCATGGTCTTCTGTATCAATACAGTATTGTCAATGAATAATTGCAGATTCTTGTATATTTAGGCATTATTAAATGATGCTGCATTGCACAAGCTGCATGACGATGTAGAGAGCTGCAGCAACATACAATAATGATGGTTTCCCATGATTTTTCATACCTAGTGTCAACTTGTTTTTTTAATAAATAGCCTTATTATTTAATACGTCGTGTTTTAAAATGCTGGATTTATTTTCAGGAAGGGTGATAGTAGAGTGTTCGACTCGTCTCGTCCTCTAACTCCAGCCAATTTAATGTCGTTTTTAGTGGCAAATCTTGATCCCAGCCACCGTCTTGCCCTTGCTCTCTCCACGTGTCACGACCATTGCCGGGAGCAGGTAGTTCAAGCAGTGACTACTGCAACCACGCAGCTTCACCACGACATCACGGCCTCCACTGTAAGACTCAAACATGTCCTGGATCGCCTTGTGAAAATAAAAGATGACTCGTCCCAAAATAATTCCCACTTGGAAGTTCATTATCATTTATTAGTTCACACAAAAATGCAACTTGTCCAAGAGATACAGAAGCAGAGATTCAAACTCCATCATCTCAGTCAAGTACAGACATTGTTACCATTACCTCCAGAAAAAAATGAAATGCTGAAAAAAAGTGAGTTGTTAAAATCTCTACAATACATACTACAGGCAAGCAGTAATTCCAAAGATAAATTCTCAAACCCACGGACACTGCACAATGAGCTATAGTGAAATAGATCTGTAGTTCAGTACTGGAGTTTTGCTGTGATATACAAGCATGTACATGGGCACATGTATGCATATGCACCCCATTTTGTGATCAGAGATTCATTTACTGTATTTGTACATCATGTATTTATATGCATACATGGACAATTAGTCATGAGAATGTGCACAGACACATACACACACGCATGCCCGCACATGCATGCATGCATGTGATGTGTATTCATACAGAAATGTACATTGCAAGGCATTTATTAAAGTTCCTTAGTATTGACACCTAGTCAGGTATAGGGAATACTGCACTGGTTATGGAAATTGACCTGAAATCATCTGAGGGTCACCACAATTGTTGACCTCAACAGGGAGAGGAGCCCTGTGTCTTATAATAATTCCACCCCCCAACCCCCAACTCCTTACCACTGATATTAAAATAAATTGAAATATGGATAAAAATATAATATGAATTTTCTTCTATTAAAATATGATAATTCAGTTTGATCTGGGGGACAGGCAGCCTGTGTGTGTGTACTCACCTAGTTGTACTCGCCTAGTTGTGCTTGCATTAAGGTCCTCCCCCACCCCCCACCCTTTCCCCAAAGTAGAACTACTGACCCTCCCCAAGATGCAACCCCTCACCTTGAGCCGACTCCTGAGTACTATTTACCTCTAGGTGAACAGGCATTTGGTGATTGGAAACGTGCCCAACCATTTCCTGTCTGGGATTCAAACTCGGAATTTACAATTGCAAGTCGAGAACGATCCCAACTGTAAATAAGTCACATTTCTATTGATTCACTACATTTCGTAACAACTTTTAATTGTTGTTCATTATAAACTATATATTTTATTAAGATCTAGAAATCAGGGGAGATAAGTTATTTGCATTTATTATGCATTCTTTGTTTACTGCAGAGCAACACAAATATTGATGTTTGAAACTGTATTAAATCGTTTTGACATTTATTATTCTGAACCAAGAGTCTATAATAAATTTATAAATATATATATTTTTTGTCTGGTTATTGTGTGCATTGAATTGAATACAATATTTAGGTGGTGAATAATTGAATTTAGGATCATATATTTTTGTTGGTTGTGTGAGCCGAGAAGTATGGGGTCAGTATTAGAGAAAGTGACATATATTAACTAGTTTACATATTTAAAAAATTACTTAGTGTGATGATTTTATTAAAACTTAACGTTATTTTGATGTGTGTACTGTACTTGATAGTGTTTTTTGCAAGACTGGTGGTTTACCGTGTTGGTACGTCTTTAAGACGTTGGTTTATATACAGTGTGTTAGTTGAGTACAGTAGATGCGTGTGACTCTTGAACACCTGGTGCCTTGTGAATATGTTGTGTGTAATTGTCTAGCCAATTTCTTTATACCAGTTCTGCACATAGTATTTCTTTTGTTTTTTTCTTGTGTTCTTATTTTATATATATATATATATATATATATATATATATATATATATATATATATATATATATATATATATATATATATATATATATATATATATATATATATATATATATATATATATATATATATATATATATATATATATATATATATATATATATATATATATATATATATATATATATATATATATATATATATATATATATATATATATATATATATATATATATATATATATATATATATATATATATATATATATATATATATATATATATATATATATATATATATATATATATATATATATATATATATATATATATATATATATATATATATATATATATATATATATGTCGTACCTAGTAGCCAGAACTCACTTCTCAGCCTACTATGCAAGGCCCGATTTGCCTAATAAGCCAAGTTTTCATGAATAATTGTTTTTCGACTACCGAACCTACCTAACCTAACCTAACCTAACTTTTTCGGCTACATAACCCAACCTAACCTATAGAGATAGGTTAGGTTAGGTTAGGTAGGGTTGGTTAGGTTCGGTCATATATCAACGTTAATTTTAACTCCAATGAAAAAAAATTGACCTCATACATAATGAAATGGGTAGCTTTATTACTTCATAAGAAAAAAATTAGAGAAAATATATTAATTCAGGAAAACTTGGTTTATTAGGCAAATCGGGCCATGTATAATAGGCTGAGAAGTGAGTTCTGGCTACTAGGTACGACATATATATATATATATATATATATATATATATATATATATATATATATATATATATATATATATATATATATATATATATATATATATATATATATATATATATATATATATATATATATATATATATATATATATATATATATATATATATAATTTATCAGCTGTTTAATTATTTGAAGAGAATAAGTAATAGGTTTGTGCTAGTGTTTTATAAAGTATATGTTGGTTCTTCAAAAAACAGTAGTTTTTATACTGTGCTTGGTGTAAATCACATTAGTTGTGTGGTATGAAGGAAAAAATGTATCGTCTTAGCATTGGCACTTAACAAAATTTTAAGGCAAATGTTTACACGACCGCGGTAGAGCAACATGTAGTGCTGGATGTGCAAATTGATTATTGCCTAAATGAGAAAATTGGTTCTTGACTAATACGTAATGTGTGAAGTATAACAGGTTTTGACTACTTGGAAATGAATGTAACGGTAAGAAACTCGACAACCTTACATGTACAGTATGTGAAGGTGTTCAGTGGCAAAAATATTTATCCAAAAGTACACTAGGTTTTTTTTTAAGGAGATGGATCTCTTAAATGAATAGGTGAACAGAATCATCAGGTGTAAGAAAATATTGTCCTATCAGTGAATTGAACCCAGGAGCAATCAGATGTGAGCAAATCTTGCATCATTGTACACTATAGGATTTTGGTAGTTCTAAATACTGTACTGTACTGGGTTAATGAAGTTTTGTTCTAGTTGAAAAGGTATTATGTACCTCCAAGCCCCCCCCCCCCCCCACCCCTCCCCCCCTCAGGTTTCACCATGTCGTGATGCGGGGACAGGCTCATTTATAACTTTTTGGGGGCTGGTGGGGGCATTACTAACTAACACGGTAATACTGTTACTGTTAATGACAGTACAGTATTATCAGGGTTGATCCCCCTGATAATTCCTCCCTCCCTCCCTTCCCCCTCCCCATCCTCTGGGAGTTGTACAAGCAAAATGAAACAAATGTAGGACACCTGTTTGGGTCAACGGACCACCCACTGTAGCACTCGCCCATGAGGGGCCGCCCTTGGAGGTTGGTTGGGAGTCCGGGTTGGGGCAGAGGGACTAAGAACTCTTGGCACCAGTATAGGGGAAGGTACAATGCATGACGACTTCCTGCCAAAAAGTTGGGAAAAGGAGAGTTCCTGCACTGGCAAGAGCGCAGTCTCCCTTGCTGCTTTGGTAGGTGGTATTCCTTTGCTCTAGGACCCAAACTTTTGAAAGAAAGATGAATGGAAACTGGAATGACTTCTCAAACACAAGCTCGTGGTGTGGGCGACCCTCCCCCCCCCCCACTCACCCTCACCCCACCCCTCAATCGGATAGTGATGGACGATCAAGCTCTGTAGCCCTGGGGCCAGATTCACGAAGCAGTTATGCAAGTACTTACGAACGTGTACATCTTTCCTCAATCTTTGACGCCTTTGGTTACATTTATTAAACAGTTCACAAGCATAAAAAGTTCCCAATCAACTGTTGTTATTGTTATAAACAGGCTCCTAGTGCTTTGGAACTCATTAACTTTTTAATAATTGTAAACAAAGCCGCCAAAGATTAAAAAAAGATGTACAGGTTCGTAAGTGCTTGCGTAACTGCTTCATGAATCTGGCCCTGGCTACGATGAGCCCAGACTCGGCTTCATCTTCAGCACCCTCTATTTGATCCTCTGTGTTCCCCCTCGCACTTCCTTGGCAGGGTTGCCAAGGAAGTCGCCCAGTGGTGAATAGTCACCACCTGGAGTGGCTCCATCTTTACTTGTGACAGCTGCACCTTAACCCCATGCCCCTTTTGTGAGGGATCATGACATCATATCCACAGTTGAACACACGATTCCTTCAAACACTGCTAAGTTCCTTGATCTATTGTGCCCTGCTAAAATATGCAGTCTGTCATAGATAAGCACGCAAACACCTTATAACCTGAGCGATGTACAGTATTTGAAGTACCTTTGATCATAAATTAAACTGCATACCTTTGTTGCACAGCTACTAAAATAATGTGTTTATACAAGGTAATAACATAACATTGCAGTCTTGATTGCAGAGTTTTCATTGGATTACCAGTTGACAGTGGTTTATTCAGTTTATGGTTATTACTCATGACGTATAATTTCTTGCTCGTGACATATTAATGGTATAAAATGTTTAGCATTTAATATTCTTAGTGTCCTGTAAGGTACAATTCATTATCATCAGAATTTTATTTAAAAATTTTTAGTTACTCCATTTGCTTACAGCAAATTATTATTCTTGAATACAGTATCTGTCTTAATATAAATTATCATCAATAATAACTTTGGTTTTTTTTGTGTAGTTTAATCTGTAAATGTTTAACTTTCATTTTGCATAATTTTTATTAGTCTTGTTGCACTGCACATTGCACTGTTGCTGCAGCTGTATATAGTAGAGGAATAGAGCCAGTGTTGGTCATAGACCGGGCCACAGGGATGTTAATCCTCGGAATCGCCTCAAGGTAAAGTAGTCACACACTGCAACACACCTTAGTGGTCATCTACATTTCTCAACCTCTACTTTCCCATTCATTAACTACAGCAGTCTCATTGTATCCCATGACACTGCTAAATAGTCTTCCTGGCTTGGTGCCTCCTATTGATGATTACTTGGTCCTGTGTTATTACATGTTTGTCGCCCCTCACCTCACCTCACCTCACTGGTGTGCAAGGTAATCTTTTGATGAAACTGGACGCCAGTGGCAGTTGTCACTTGGTCACACCAGTGCATAAGTATTCTGCAAACGTGTAAGAATGTTTACAGTACTGATGCTATCCTGACATTTATGGGTAGTTAAAATATCTTCATTAAAAATGGCACTATTGTATTTCATGAAGAAAAAATTATCATAAAAGGCAAGCCATCAAAGAATATACTTTAGATACAAAAAATATAAATGGAACCTACAGTGTTCCGTGTATAAAATGGCTAAATAGGTTTGCCAACTTCCTATAAGGAATTAAGAGTACATTACATTATTAATATTTTTTATTTTGAATTTGAAAGTTTATCATTGGTATGTGGGCACACATCTTATTTCATAAATTAAGTGGAACTTTGCTATAATTTGAACGCATTTATAAAATGCAGTGCAGAATGCATATTCTGGCCTTTGTGCATGCATTACTGTATTTAAATTGTTCCATCCACTCTCACTAGTTAGTAGAGTGAAGGCTTCGTTTCTTCCCAGGATAGCGTTCGATTCCTGAAGGTCCAGGTGACTGGGCATCGGCCTCGTATCCCTTCCAAGTGTTATTTATATAGTCTTAGTGGTTTCTCCTTGTATTTATCATACCTTGAGTTATTTTGACTTTATTCTATGGTGCTACATAGCCTTCCCGGCTTGGTGCCTTCTTTTGATAATTACTTGAATTTATTCTTTATATTCTGCAATTTTTGTATATAATCAATAATGGGGTCTGGTTTACCAAATATTGTCTAAGTTTTCTTCGTAAATATATTAAAGACTATATAACCTATGTATTCTGAATAGTTTTGAGATTAAAATTTTGGTTTAATTCAGTACAGTAAACTATGTACATTTTGTATTCCAGAATATTGTACATGTACAATTACTTTTAAATTAATATTAAATGAAACATTGCATAGTAACTTATGTTTTGGGGAACATTAACAATACAGTACTGACAGCTTAGGTTTTTTAAATGACCAAGTTTATATAATATAGTACTGTATAATATGACAATACAGTATACTGTAGTATGTTAACTATGTCAACTTTGGTGTTTTAACTAACATTGCCTTTGGCTATATTGTACAATGTTTATCTCATTTCAGGTGTATTATGTACTGTTCATACAAAAAAAAATAGCTTATGACACCCTTTCATATGTTCATAATGTAATGTGTTTTGTATATAATGGTGAGTTTTGATGAGAGGTCAGTGTTGGTGCTTGGTTATTGCACCTGTAGTAACTCGCTCCAACACTGCTCACATTTGTACCTATGGTGCTGGATAGTCAGCTTGCTGCTTTAAGTACGCAACTACTGTACAGAATTGTTGTGTTGCAGTTCAATTTTTCCAGTATACATTGGTTTACTGTATTTGCAGTAAGTGTTTTCTGCAAATTAGTTTTGTTAAGTTTTCTTTGCCTCAAGGAAATACTGCACATGTTTATTAATGAACCCTGCAGGCAAAATATGCTCGAATAACATTAAATCGATGTTGATTCAATATTATGTCAACATAGTTTGCCCAGTTTTGC